TCAGACAGATTTGAAGGCAAATTTCACTGGTGGATGTTTAGTGCAAAAACTGACCAAACTTCCTTAAGATAGGTTTGAAGACAAGTTCCACTTTTGTCTATGCGGCATTTTTATCTTCTTTAACTTTGTCATATTTGACCACACTCGTAGGCATTAATTATTCATTAATTTTCAACAGGGCGAATATAGTTGAAGGTGCAAGTCTAAAACCTTAACCCACCTCGCATGAAAGTGCAGACGGGGTGGAGAGGACTCACGGGCACTGCACATTTTAAATTCATGCCCACAAAAATCCATAAAAAAAAATAGGACGGAAAAGAGCGGACATTAAAATAGACATGTTAAACGGATCAGAACCGTCTTACCATCCAATTGATCTAATAATATTAAACGACAATTTTAGTAAAAAACATGAAGATCGTGTATTGTGAATTGAATACCTTTAAACAAAGTATAAACGGTTTCTAAATGATCAAGAAACACACAAGGGTTAGGGTTAATAAAGAAGGCAAGGTAAAACAACAAGGATTGATTATTAAACTGTTATTCTTTCCTTTCTCTTAGAACAAGATTACAAGTATACAAGAATAACAAAATAATCTCTCTCTCTTGAAATTAGGATTTTATCTTCCTATTTTTCCTTATGCCAAGATTGAGAAACTAGCATCCTATTTATAATAAAATAGCGCACTAACTAAATAGGCTTTTTAACAATTACCCATTACAAGCTAACTTAGGGTACAAGCTAACTTAAACAATTGGGCGTACAAGCAAGGCCCAATTCAACATGCTAACAACCCTAGCAATATTGACTAATGCATGTTAGAACAAACTTCGACTACAACACACATTACTTGCGAACAGACTTCGACAACACTAGAGTTCGATCCAACATCTCACAAATCTCCACCTTGGATCTAACTCTATAACATCAAGAAACAAGCTTTCTTCATGCAGCTTTATTAACTGCATACAGTGGAAAAACTTGCAATTGGGCAACGTCTTGGTGATCATATCAGCAGCATTATGATCTGTCGAAACCTTCAGCACTTGGACTTCTCCATGCTCGATTACCCCTCTGATGAGATGCAACCTCACATCAATGTGCTTGGTTCGCTCATGATAGTCTGAATTCTTCGACAGGTGTATTGCACTTTGACTATCACATTTAACAGTGATAACTCGACCTTGAAGTTTTAGCTCCTTTGCAAAACCTTCAAGCCACAAGGCTTCCTTCACAGCTTCAGTTAGGGCAATATACTCCGCTTCAGTGGTTGATAAGGCAACGACCTTCTGAAGTGTTGCTTTTCAACTGATTGTTGTCCTAAACATAGTGAACGCATATCCATAGATAGATTTTCTAGAATCCATACAACCTGCATAATCAGAGTCGACATATCCTTCGATTGCTGCTTTACTATCTTCACCCAAGGCTCCACCATAAATTAGGACTCTATTCAGAGACCCATTTATGTACCTTAAAATCAACTTCAATGCTTGCCAGTGAGCCTTTCTAGGATTCACCATGTACCTGCTTACAAGACTTACTGCATATGCTATGTCGGGTCTAGTACAAACCATATTATATATCAAAGAACCTACTATGTTAGCATATGGAATGCTATTCATATAAGTTCTTTTAACATTAGTGCTGGGACACTGATCTATACTCAGCTTAAATTGAGGGTTTGTCGGAGTCACAACAGGCTTTGAATTCAACATACCAAACTTTTCGAGAATCTTCTGTAGGTATGCCTCTTGAGATAAGCATAATTTCGACTGATTTCTATCTCTCCGGATGTCAATCCCAAGAATCCTGGACGCAGCTCTCAGATCCTTCATGTCGAACTCTTTATTGGGTTCAGCCTTCGCCCTCATTACCTCTTCGACATTGTTGCTTGCTATTAGAATATCATCCTCATAGAGCAACAAAATAACAAATGAATTACCCGGTCGAAATCTGAAGTAAACACAGTGGTCGAACTGACTTCTGATGAAACTTATGTGTGCCATGAACTTGTCGAATCTCCTATTCCACTGTCGAGGAGATTGTTTCAGTCCATATAAAGATCTATTCAATTTGCACACATAATCTTCCTTCCCCCTTTCGACATACCCTTCAGGTTGCCCCATCAGGATTGTTTCATCTAGATCACCATACAAGAACGAAGTCTTCACATCCATCTGTTCCAGTTCAAGGCCGAACTGAGCCACCATGGCAAGTAACATTCGAATGGATCTGTGCTTCACAACAGGAGAGAACACATCATTGAAGTCGATACCTTCTTTCTGAGTGAACCCCCTAGCAACCAATCTTGCCTTGTATCTCTTCGACGTCATTCCTTCTATTCCTTCCTTAACTTTGAAAATCCATTTACAACTGACTAACCTGGCTCCAGCAGATTTCTTGATCAATTCCCAGGTGTTGTTATCATGAAGAGATTTCATCTCATCATCCATGGCCTTCAGCCATTCAGTCTTCTTTCGACTCCTCATAACTTTCTTATAGTCTCTAGGTTCTTCGTCTAGAACTCACTAGCAGAGATTAAGGCATAAGCTATAAGATCTGCATACCTAAGTCTCTGAGGTGGCTTGATGACTCTCCTCGACCTGTCTCTTGCTAGCAGGTAGTCATTATCAGTTTCCTCATCTTCGACAACATCTTCTGCGTCTTCTTCGACTTTGTCACCTCCTAGCAGGTTCTGCTTCCCCAATTCGACCAGGCCTCTTTCGCTGACATGGCCCAACCTCATGTGCCATAATTCTGTCTTCGACATAAGTTTCATGGATGCGACATTTGTCGAACCACTTACAACCTCAGCCTCAAGGGTATACAAGCCTTGTTTCTTCACGCCTCTCAAGACTTCCTTCGACCTCTTCATGACTCTTAGGATACTTTTCTCTCCTTGAAAAACGTATCTTTTTCTGTCAAATTCACCAAGAGAAATCAAGTTTCTCTTCAAGTCAGGTACGTACCTGACTTCAGTCAATAACCTTATTGACCCATCATGGAGCTTGAATCTCACAGATCCAATACCTGCAATTTTGCAAGATTTGTTGTTTCCCAGCAGCACAAATCCACCATCTTGATCACATAGCTCCTCGAACAATTCTCTGTTTGGAGTCATGTGCCAAGTGCAACCTGAATCCATAATCCACTCTTTCCTCGAGTCGCCACTTGAAACCACAAGAACATCAGATGAGTCGAAGTCATCTTGAACAATGGCTGCATTGCTATTACCTCCATGATCTTTCAGGCGTTCAGGGCACACCTTTCTTATGTGAGCCTCCTTCTTACAGTGATAACATCGAATACTAGATGTTTCGCCACTATAAGACTTCTGTTGACTTTTACCTTTCTTCTTGTCGAACTTACCATCCTTTCGCAAGAATTTTCCCATAACAGCCAAACCTTTGCCCACCGTCGAAGGTTTATGCTCCTTTCGTTCGTTCAAGTCCTTAGAATACAAGGCTGATTGAACTTCTTCAAAGGTCAAGGACTCCCTTCCATACAAGAGAGTTTCTTTGAAGTGAGCATGTGTTCTGGGCAAAGCACACAATAGCAACAGTGCTTGATCTTCATCATCGATCTTCACATCAATATTTTCAAGATCAAGAATCAGCTTATTGAACATATCCAACTGCTCAGCCAACACTTTGTCTTCACTCATCTTGAATGAATATAAAGCTTGCTTCAAGTAGAGTCGATTCACCAGAGATTTGGTCATGTACAAACTTTCAAGTTTCACCCATAATCCCGATGTTGTAGTCTCCTTTGATACCTGTCGAAGAACCTTATCACCAAGGCTCAACAATATTGCGCTATGGGCTTTCTCGATCATGCCCGTCTTTTCTTTTGCCGTTAACGCAGCGTCCATGGCTGCCTCACCCTTCAACGCTTCCAAACAACCCTGCTGAACCAATAGGGCTTTCATCTTCAAGCGCCACAGACCGAAGTCGTTCACTCCGGTGAACTTTTCAATCTCATACTTTGTTGAAGGCATCTTCTCCACGCTCAACGCACCAATTTGTTGTGAATCAGATATCTTTAAACGAAGTATAAACGATTTCTAAATGATCAAGAAACACACAAGGGTTAGGGTTAATAAAGAAGGCAAGGTAAAACAACAAGGATTGATTATTAAACTGTTATTCTTTCCTTTCTCTTAGAACAAGATTACAAGTATACAAGAATAACAAAATAATCTCTCTCTCTTGAAATTAGGATTTTATCTTCCTATTTTTTCTTATGTCAAGATTGAGAAACTAGCATCCTATTTATAACAAAATAGCACACTAACCTAATGGGCTTTTTAACAATTATCTATTACAAGCTAACTTAGGGTACAAGTTAACTTAAACAATTGGGCTTACAAGCAAGACCCAATTCAACATGCTAACAACCCTAACAATATTGACTAATGCATATTAGAACAAACTTCGACTACAACACACATTACTTGCGAACAGACTTCAACAACACTAGAGTTCGATCCAACATCTAACACATAGACACCCAAAGGTGATATTTTTCATCAAGGTATATGACAAACGGTATTAACCCTTAAATTAATCATCGGATGCTTCTAAGTTCTACCAATCTGATGTTTAATTTTGTCCGTTATTATTTGTTAGTTATTTATTTAGTCATTACACTCCACATCAATGCTTGCTTCGTGACAAAGCAAATGACCTTCAACAATTATGCCATTCTTGCTTTATGACATTCAAATTTTCTACAAAAATTTAATACCCACCATTATTCTATATTATTCAAATCCATAATCCACTGTGCACTGTCACACTTTCAAAAGACTAAAGATACTGAAACATATACAGCTCATACACCGAAAACTGGTCCATTGCCATTACTCATGTTGAACAATCCTTTCTTTTTCTCTCTCTTTATTACACCGACAAAACATTAGTACATATAACATAACATCTCATTTATAAAGCTCTAAAGCCAAAGGAAAAAAAACAAAGTGTCGTTGAAAAAAATGGAGTACTCAATGAGACTAAGTTCTCTCTCATTATTGTTAGCAGTGTTTCTTCTTGTGACAAATTCAAATGGAGAAGATCCTTATAGATTCTATACTTGGAATGTTACCTATGGAGATATCTATCCTCTTGGAGTTAAACAACAGGTTGTTATATTATTCTTCTAACTTCTATTTTTGTTTTTGTTCTTAGTTTATTATCTTATGAAATGTGTTGAATGTTTGGTTTATGAAATGGCAGGGTATATTGATTAATGGGCAGTTTCCTGGACCACAGATTGAAGCTGTCACTAATGATAACTTGATTATCAGTGTTTTCAATAGCTTGGATCAACCTTTTCTTTTTTCTTGGTTAGTTTCTTTTTCTGCTAAATTTCTTGTTGAGTTTTGGATTTAGAGTATTAGCTTCAGAAACAATATCACAGTTTTTCATAGTTTTATAGCTATTTACTATGAAACACAGACACCGAAAACACGACAGTGACACATTGACATAGCTAATAATTTGAAAAAAATGAACGTAACACAAATGTAAGTAAAGTTAGTGTCGGTTAGACACACATTTTTTCAGAGGTGTGGTGCTATAGGGATTCTGATAGATGTTTAGACAATATTAATAGGATGTGATGATTCATGATTAGGAATGGAGTAGAGCAGAGAAGAAATTCATGGCAAGATGGAGTATATGGAACAAACTGTCCTATTCCACCAGGGAAGAACTTCACTTATGTTCTTCAAGTAAAAGATCAGATTGGTAGCTTCTTTTACTTTCCCTCCCTTGAATTTCACAAGGCTGCAGGTGGTTATGGTGGCATCAAAATTAACAGCCGTCCTATGATTCCGGTACCGTTTCCTCCTCCATCAAATGATTTCACCGTGTTAGCCGGAGATTGGTACAACAGAAATCATACCGTAAGTAGCTTTACACTCTGTACCTCGACCATCTAAATCGATGGTCGAGATCCTTTAAAATTAAGTATATTCTTATTTTTATTTATTTCGGCTTTTAGGATCTGAAAGCCGTTCTCGACAATGGAACTGACCTTCCTTTTCCTGATGGACTTATCATCAATGGTCATGGTTCTAATGCTTTCACATTCAATGTTGATCAAGGTACATTACAATTTACAACAATTTGAGGCATTCTTGTTTTCTTGATGATTGATTCTAACACAATCGGCTCGAGTTAATGTCAACTTATAGATTAGTATGGGTCATAAAATTTTCTGGTTTGTTTGGCAGGCAAGACTTACAGATTCCGCATATCAAATGTCGGCCTCACAACTTCCATCAATTTCAGAATTCAAGGCCATAAGATGAAACTAGTTGAAGTGGAAGGAATCCACACACTACAAAACACTTATGATTCTCTTGACATTCATTTGGGACAGAGTTACTCGGTATTGGTTACTACTGATCAACCGCCACAAGACTATTATATCGCTGTCTCTTCGCGGTTTACCTCTCAAGTTTTGACAGCTACCTCCATACTTCATTACAGTAACTCGGCGAAAACTGTTTCTGGTCCTCCCCCAGGAGGCCTCACTGTTCAAATCGATTGGTCTCTCGAGCAAGCTCGCTCCCTCAGGTAATGTTATAACTTGCTTTAGAAATTTGTGTACGCGATCATTGAATAATATACTAAAAGAATGTTTCATGATTCATCACTCAGGAGGAATCTTACGGCTAGTGGACCGAGACCTAATCCACAAGGATCTTACCATTATGGTTTAATAAACACGACGCGTACAATTAGACTTCAAAACTCTGCACCAATTATCAACGGCAAGCAACGATACGCTGTTAATAGTGTTTCCTTCATCAACCCCGATACACCACTTAAACTAGCTGATTATTTCAATATCCAAGGAGTTTTCAGCCTTGGAAGTATTTCGGACAGTCCTACGGGCGGTGGTGGCTACCTCCAGACTTCTGTCATGGCTGCTGATTTTCGAGGCTACGTCGAAATCGTGTTTGAAAATCCCGAAGACACTATGCAGTCTTGGCACATTGATGGTCATCACTTCTTTGTTGTAGGGTAAGATTCACATTCACCTAACAAAACTTAAGAGTCATTCAATAATAATGCAACATTTTTACGATATCCATATTTTCAGAATGGATGGAGGACAATGGTCAGCTTCAAGCAGATCAAATTACAATTTAGGAGACACAATTTCTCGTTGCACAGTTCAGGTATATCCTAAGTCATGGAGTGCAGTGTACATGCCTTTGGACAATGTGGGAATGTGGAATGTGAGATCAGAGAATTGGGCTCGTCAGTACTTAGGACAACAGTTTTATCTTCGTGTGTATTCTCCGGCAAATTCGTGGAGAGATGAGTATCCAATACCAAGTAATGCTTTGCGGTGTGGCCGAGCTATAGGTCATTAAACTAAGTCATTAAGTTTCATTCATTCTCTATGAAACACTGACATAGACACGAACACAGACACTATTATGAAGCGTGGTCGCTTTCAATGTTTAAGATATTCCCTTCAGTATATAGTATCATGGCTACATAATTTGTTTTCCTTCTAAGGCTTAACTAGAGCCAATTTTCCTTTGTACAAGTCAATATTACTTTAGAAGATACGTCCTTAGATTGTTCTGTTCATTCTGTTCAATCTAAATTTAAATCATTGGTACATTTGCCACATGACATTCATATGGAAACTATATATGTTGTTATCTTTCGTATTCCTTCCATTCCTTAAGTGTTGGGTTATCTAGCATTTGGTGCGACCATGTGGGGCTCACAATTACTGAAGATGAATCAGGAATCTTTTGCAGTTATATGGAAAACACTCAGAATGTGAAAAGAATCCTAAAGGAAAAACCATGGATTTTCATAAATGTGTGGCTTTCTGTGAAGCCCTGAAACCAGAATTACTTTTTTCAATGTTTAGATTTCAACCTTGTTCTCATCTGGGTCCAGTTATGGGGTATCCCTCAAAACAAAGCAGATGGGAGAAAGAGTTAGGAAATTTGCACGGTCCTGCCCTTCTTTTGGGTTAAAAATACCAAATACCAAAGTACTATATTTTAAAAAAACCGTTTTTGTTATAGAGCAACCGCCTATCCAATGGACGGCAGTGTACAAAAAAAAAAGGTGTTACTGTTATAAATTTACAACACTGCTGCCCATTCAATGGGCGACACATTTTTTTTTTTATACACTGTCGCCCATTTAATAGGCGGCACCTCTATAATGAGATTTCTTTTGTTTGAAACTAAGGCATATTGATATATATGATTGAAAAGTATGACATTATAGTTATTTGTTTCTAATAGTATGACAATGTTGTAAAAATTTGAAGAGTTAGATGCACCTCTATAATGAGATTTCTTTTGTTTGAAACAATGACATATTGATATATATGATTGAAAAGTATGACATTATAGTTATTTGTTTCTAATAGTATGACAATGTTGTAAAAATTTGAAGAGTTAGATAAAAAATTAGGACAGTTCAAGAAGCCTACATATACCAATATCCCAAGAATGTCATCCTGATCAAAATAAAATTTCTCTTTGACAACATGAAACATCTAAAACCATGAGTTCACATTAGGAGCAAAAAAGAAGGAACAATGTGGACCTATTTTAAGTTTGAAAAAATTCCTATGTTTTGCTTTAATTGCGGGATCATAGGGCACACTGAAGAGTTTTGTTCTTTGGATAACCAAAGAAACCCTAATTCTCTCACCAAACACCCTTGTGGACCTTGGCTTAGATCAATAGAGTATGAGAAAAGACTCAAAGACCAAATGGAGAGAACCTATAACAACAATCTTATGAATTCCCCAATCTATGGGGAACTCAGTCTTATCCCTAAAGTTATGATAAAGAAGCTGGGAAGGATTTCTATCAAAGATGATCATGGGGCACAAGGGATCCAGGATAGTGAAAAATATGTGGATCTATGTGTTTGAAGGTATGAATTTGATGATACTAGTGATAATCTTCCTAAAATTTTGATGACGACAACACCAATGACTGCTAAAGTCGATATAGTCAGTGGTAATGGTTTTTCAAATCTCTAATGATGATTAACAAACTTAAGGACATCTCAATCCTTATCTAGAAGGAAAATCAAGACTCCATTGAAGTACTTATATGATCAATGTATCTGACAGAGAATCTTTAAGGTCTCAAAGTTGTGAAAGAGAGGTGTGTCAAAGGTCGCCTGGCCGTATATTTTGAGTGACCAGAGTTTTGTAAACGTAATGAAGTAACTACTAAGATACTAAGACAACTCTCTCTCTCTCTCTCTCTCTCTCTCTCTCTCTCTCTCTCTCTCTCACACACACACACACACACACACACACACACACACACACACACACACACACACACACACACTCACGCGCACACATGCACACACACACGCACACACACTTGAAACCTCTTTTTTATCTATCAAATATCTTTAAAATGTTTTCAAATCTGAGCTAAGTGATTAAGATATTGTAAGCCTTTTTGAACTAACCAATTGATTCAGACCTTAAAACAATTTATTGGAAAATATCTATGAACTACCAATCGATTAAGACCTTAAGATAATCGATTGGAAGATTTTTTTGAAGTAACCAATCAATCGGAACCCTAAGCCAATCGATTAGAAGAAGCATAAACGGGTGTATAATCGATTATGACATTGCCTTTATGACTGACAATGGCTCCATATCAAATATTTCCATTTTGGGCTAAGAATATTTATTATTTATTTAGGTCAACTAATCGATTGACACATTAATCCAATCGGGGTTGGACATTAAAAAGGCTCATGGGTCATTTCCTTTTTCGGTTTTTCCTTTTCCTATATAAAGATGGTTGTCTCCTATTCATTTCACACAAATTTTGGAAGTTTTACATTGTTTTTGGAATTTATCTCTCTATTTTCTCCCTCACTCTCTAGAAATATTTTTCTTTGCTTAAAGTTGTCTTGGTGCTTTTGAGTGAACACTGATTGTGAGGGAGAAATTATTTGAGTGAAATGCCATTGTGATTACTTTCAAGAGTGTCATACTCTTAAATAATAGAGTATGGTTCTTGATATTAACCAGTCTTAAAATCTCTGTTTGGTTCTTGAGATTATCCTGAAAAATATCTTTCTTTTTTTATTATTATTTTAGCTTAGTTAAAATCTTTTTGTTCGATCAAGTATAAGCCATTGTAAAGATCAACTTGTATCAAAAGGTTCGTGGGCATAACCTGTAAAAGCTCAAAGTTTTAGTCAAAATCTCAAGAAGAACTCTTATGAAAAAAACTAAGTCAATGTTCGCCAAAACCATGATAAATCTTCAGTTCAATCTATCTAACCTTATCCTTTTATTTTTTTGCAATTTACTTTCAGTCTTTTACTTCTGATGCAAATTACTCCCCTAAAACTACTAACACGATCTTAACCGAGAAAGGTATATAATAATCACGAATTTTGAATACCACAATACATCCTCTCCTATTATGGACTAATCGTCTCAGAAGGAAAAATGACTTCATTCACTAAACAAACCTCCATTCTTTAATGGAGAAGGGTAAAGTTTATGGAAAGGGAAAATGAAGTTTTTTATAGAAAGGACAGATCGTGGTATTTGGAAGGCTATGAATGAAGGTTCATTTGTTCCTACACACATAGTTAAGTTTGTTGTATAAAAAAAATTGGATCAAAGATGATAAGGAAAATGTGCAACGCAACTTGAAAGCGAAAGTTGTTATCACCACCGCTCTAGGTCTTGATGAGTTTTTGCAAGTTTCTCACTGCAAAACTGCAAAAGAAATGTGGCACGTCCTTCAAATCACTCGTTAAGGTGCTACTGAGGTGAAAAGGGCAAGGTTGGGCACATTAGTCCATGAGTATGGACTCTCCAGATGAAACCTGAAGAGAGCATTAATAAGATGCAAACACGATTTAACCATATCGTGAGTCATATGAGAACTCTGGGAAAAACGTTTTCAAATGAAAGATTGTTTATAAAGACTCTTAAATTCCTAAAATGTAGTTGAAAACCTAAAGTCACTGTGATTTTTGAATCTAAGAATTAGAAGCGATGGGCACACACTCTCTCTTTGGTAAATTATATGAACATGAGATGAAGCTGTTGCACCGCAAAAAATACAGAGTCGCCACCGAAATTTATTTATTCCAAAGAAAAGGGAAAATATTGATAAAATCCCTAAAAGGTAAAGAAGATGGTCGTTGCAACCAAATTTGGGTTCAGAAGTCGGTTATGTAAGGAAAAAGTATTAACACCCCTCATGTCTGTTGCACTCAACGGGAACCATTTTGATTGTGTTGTGCAGATGGGTGTTATTATCTAAAGGTTACTTGCAATTGGTTTTAATTAAAGGGAAAAATAATTTTTTAATTAATGTGCTCGCCAAGATTTCGAAATCATGTGCCTACGTATTCCCATAGTGCAATGAAAAAATCAGAGCTCTGTAGTTTGTGAGAAAACAAGTGTTTGGTGGTTGATTTTATTGAACTATGTTAACGTTTGTGTTCTAGAAATTAAACATTGCTTGTATACTCACGCGTCAGAGGTTTAAGCATTGTTTGTATTACGGTAGAACGAAAATAACATGTCCTTTATGAAAGATTTTGAATGCCCAAAAGGGGAAAAATTGAATTTGATTGGTTGTGATTAATTTTAAGTCTGAAGACAGAGATTTAGATAGGTAGCTCTACAGTAGTGTCTGGAAATTCGGAAGAGAGAATCTACATCCTCCTCCTTTTTCTTCCTTTTACTATGAAAATTTGCCTTGACTTGAATTGCATTAAAGTCTATGAATGGAGGTGAATACTTTGAACAACTAGGTCATTTGTCTTGTATCTAAAGATATTCAAAATAAGGATAAGAATACACCATTTTATTCCTTCCCCATTTCTTAAGGCTCATGACGCACAATTCGCGTCGTATTTTTTTAAAGGTTTTTGGTTTATTTTCAAAAATGGTTTTAGTTTTATCATGATATAAAGAGAAGAATAAATAATGCAAAGTATTAGATGAAATAGCAAGATAATTGTAAGTTCGCTTCGTGCAACACCAAAAGGATTTAAATTCTATTATTTCATCTAAAGTTGCCCGAAGCGGTCATGAAGGCTGTGTATTGCTTGTCCGCCTTCGCCTTGGGGATTTGGTTGTACCCCGAGTATGGGTCCATGAACAATAATAGCTTGAAACCTGTAGATTTGTCGACCAATTTGTCAATGTTAGGCAAGGGATATGCATCTTTGGGGAAGACCCTATTAAGATCGGTATAGTCAATACGCATACACCACTTTCCATTAGATTTCTTAACTAATACAGCATTAGATAACCAGGTTGTGTACTGGGCTTCAGAAATAAAATTTGTCTCTAGAAGATCTTTTATAGCTAATTCAGCAGCCT